GAACGACAGGACAGAGACACAGAGAACGTTTCATCCACCTGTTTCATCAGCGTTTGAATGAATTAACACATGAAAGCAAATAAAAAGATGACACACTACAACAACAACAAAAATAAAAGTTTTAACCTCCTCCACCTTCTGGACCCTGATATCTGTGGTATCAGGTCATTTCATTAGACTGAGTGAAACAAGAATAAATGACCTGGTTCAGACATGCAGAGTGAAGCGAGTAAAGAAGCAGCTTCAACAGGTCGTTTGGTTCAATTACAAAAATAAAACTGGAACACTTCATTTCCTGAGAAACACCAACACTAGGACTAAACTGCTTCCAGCTGTGTTTGGACACAGATCCACGTCTTTAGTCCACCACCAGGACCAGACAGTAAAGAAGAACATCCTGTTCACACGGACACATGTTGCTCTTGATCTCTGTTGTCGTGGACGACAGCAACACACATCAGCACAAATCTGAGGTGACGTTTTCATTCACTTCTCCTCCATTTTCAGTTTGTTCTTTCGTGAGCACAGGATGAAAGCTTCAGGGCCGTGCAGGTGATGCGGAGAACTGGGACGTACAGCAGGTAGAATATATATTTTAGGAAGCTGTGTGAAGTCGACGTAAAAGTTGTAAAAGTTTCACCAGCAAAACACATCTGATCCAGAGAGAGACACAGCTGCCGTCACACACTCACTGATCCCAGGTCTGACTGACTACAGTCCCTGTGAGTCACGTCAGCTGCTGCTGTGTTGTTGTGTTTTACTGGTTCACTCACTTTGTAACAGTAAAATTTAAAGCTCCATGTTTCTTCTTCTTCTGTTTTATTTGAAGTGTTGATCCATCAGAAGATATAAAAACCATCTCAGTGTAGTTTTACATCTCCTCTCTCAGGCTTCTCTCTGGAGCTCTAGTAACAACAGGTCTGTGAGCCAATCAGAAGAGAGGAGGCTCTGAGCCTCTCTTCTGATTGGCTGACTGTTTTCTGAGTGATCAATAAAAATAAAGCAGATTTCAGGTAAAAACACTCAGAGAAACCAAATCCTGCAAGGTTTGGATGGTGGGTCCAGGTGGGCGGGGCTTGGTGACTGCTTTGTTGTGACATCACAAAGTTCCAGAAGTCCTGACGGCTGGTTTTAAGGCTCAGTTTCTGAATACAGGCTGTGTGCATTTCTCTGTGGACTGAGGCTTTGATACTTTCACAGTATTAATATAGAAGCTAGAGCTGATCTATAATCACACTACACATGGACACAGACCTTTACACTGGAGGAGCTTTAATGTTATTTGGCTCCACAGTGAGAAAGTTCACAGGCATCAATTCACCATCTTGGAACATCTGTTTTTCTGACATGTTTTCATTGCAGGTGCCAAAAGAAAACAAGGAATCATGTGACCAGCACAGACGCCAGGACACACAACTGCAACACGCCGGGTTTTGAACCATCAACCCTGAGCTGTGGGTGTCGAATGATCATTGTAAGAACCCTTGGAGACAAATTTACTTTATGAATCAAACTGACATCACTGGACATGATCCGTCCCGTACCACACAGGTAAAGTCAACATCACAGGTGAGACGCAGCCATAAAATGCATTCATTCATATTTCTATGAATGTGCAACAACAGACAGAGACCTTGTGTTCGTAGTGTCTGTATTTACTGAGGTGCATTGACGCTATATGAAGAATAAAGAACTGATTAAACCTCCATCTCCAGCTGCCATAACGAACTCCAGCTCGTCAACTTTTTACTGCAAATAATTAAAATTCAAAAATGGAGCGAGAGTAAAAAAAAAGAAAAAGAAGAAGAAGAGTTGCAGGGAGTTGGGGGAAGAGAGGACTTTAACTTTACTCAGCGGTCGTGTTTAATTACAGCTGCGCTCTTTGTTAATGACTCTATTAACGGCCTGTTTGATTGGCCGGCCACGTCTGCCGTCTCCCCGACGAGACGCTGAGGAAACGAGTTAAACTGGCAAATCCTCTTTACACATAAATCTGCCTGAAGATTGTCTCAGCGCCGGCCACCGAGCGGGAAAATTCATAACCTCGTCAATTTGTCAAAAGGCTTAAAAAAAATCCCCCACCACCCACCCCACAACCCTCACCTCCCCCACCACCACCCAGCCATTTCTCCTGCACGCCACCATCTAATTAAAGCTGAAAAATAATTAGCGATATATTTTCCTTCTTTAAACAAAAATGAAGAAGAGGGAAGGGCAGTGATTAAAGGAGAAGAGGAGGAAGAGAGAGCAATTAAGAGGATGGAGGTTGACGAACTCTGTGTACACATGTAGGATTACAGGGTGAGACTTGTGTAAGGCAAGCTCGATCGCTCTCTCTCTCTCTCTCACTGTCTTTCACTTTTCTTTTTTTTTTGAATTGGCGTGCCACTTCTTCAGCAGCTGATAAAAGCCGAGAGAACAAGATAACCAGCTCGGCGGAGCAGGCGGAAAAGCTTAGGGGACCCGATTTGACAATTAATCAATTATTTGATAGAAATCA